TCAATACACTAAGCTTCCTGTTAGTGCTGCAGATGAACAGAAGCCAAGGCATGGGTAGGAAGGGTTTCTGTACATAACCTCTATCCTGGAAGCTGGTTCCCTTCAAAACTCAAGTGGTAAAACTCCCATTGCTTTAAATAAACTACAGCAGGTTTACAAACTGCTCTCGTCTTTGGTGCATTAAACTCAAGTGGTAAAACTCCCATTGCTTTAAATAAACTACACATAAACTGCTCTGGTCTTTGGTGCATTTGTGTTTATGGCTCTTACAGTATGCTTGGTGGAATCACTCCCTTCAGGGGCATAACAGAACAGGCTGTTCACAGAAGTGGGACAAACAGGTCGGGAACCCAGGAAAAAACCCTCTCTAAATGATTTTCTGTAGTCACAGAGGCAGGAGTACAGGCTACAGTATGCTTGGTGGAATCACTCCCTTCAGGGGCATAACAGAACAGGCTGTTCACAGAAGTGGGACAAACAAGGTCGGGAACCCAGGAAAAAACTCTCTCGAAATGATTTTCTATAGTCACAGAGGCAAGAGTACAGGGACTGTGAAGGTACAACAGCAGCAGCAGTGACAGCACCCTTCATTGCCAATAAAATCAGACCTTTGACTCCTGAGCCATAGGAAAACTTAGTCATAAGAAAACAGAAAGTTCAAAGTCCCTCAAATCAAACTATTGAGGGGGAAAAGAAAAAAAAAAGCAACTAGAGTAATAGCTTTATTACTGAACTCCTAATTATAACTGCATTGAAAGGCCTATATATAATTTAGATGTATGCTGCAATTGCTTTCACAATCCAAACTGAAAGAGGAACCTCAACAAATCTCATCTGTTTCAAAGTTTAGGTAAAAGCCCTAACAAACAGATGAAGCAGAATAATACTACACATGCCTATTGTGGCATGGACCTGTTTGCAATGTAGATATTTTTTCCGCAGGTACATGTTTGACAATATCTTATGCAAAGGTGTCTTCCATACCTGAACAAAAAGTAGGGATTTGGCTGTGCTGATTTAGGAGAACTAAGATGCTTTTATATATACATAACACACACATAAATATATATAGAATCATAGAACATCCTGAGCTGGAAAGGACCCACAAGAACCATCAGCCCAACTCCTGAAGTCCAGCACAAGACAAGCCCAAGAATCCCACCCTGTGTCTGAGAATGTTGTCCAAAGGCTTCTTGAACTCTGTCAGCCTTGGTGCTCTCATACTTCCCTGGGGAGCCTGTCCCAGTGCCAAACCATCCTCTGGATGAAGAATCCTTTCCTAATATATGCTTTTTTAAACAAAAAGAGCCTCAAAAACCCCTAATATCTCTGGGGATTAAATACCATGATTCCTTTTTACATACAGCCTCTCTGGCAATCTCGACTGGACTGCCCTGTTGTATTCTATCACACACCAAAGAATTCAGGAGCCTCGCCCACCTTGGCAGGGGCAGCGGGTGGCTGAGGTCACTGCCCTGTATTTGTACCCTCCTGCTGATGGATCGAACTTTAACACAACAAAAGATCGATCGCGGCCACTGCTGGCACCACACGGGGACACGGAGGCTGCTGTGGTGTAGCCACATCCCCTAGAAGTGTGTGGATGCCTAAAAAAAACACCCATCCTTTGCATCTAAACAGTCCAGAGTGAATAATTTTCAAATCCATTGATAAGCATCATTGAAATACAGGCTGAATCTCATGAACCCAGGAAAAGAAACAAGGGAGAAATTTTCTTTGTTAAGGAAACTGATCGTAGCATTAATCATTGTATTAAAATGGATGGCATTTAAGAGAGGCTGTGTCTCTGCAAAGTACTTTTACAGCTATGTCTGTCAGTTTCCTGAATTTTATAGAACATTTTTATACAGATGGTTTGCATTTGGCTTTTTGTTTTAATGTTTTCTGTTCATTAAATCACAAAACTAATAAAAACTAAACGATTGAGATTTTTTTTCCAGCAGCACAGGAACATTCCTAATGCACAGTCTTATAATTTAATAAGCATCTCAATTGACTATTAAAATCCACATTATGATCAGAACTGTAATTCCAAAGATGAGGTCTTCTGAAAGCTTAATTTACTGTGGTGGGAAGTGGCAGCTGCTCCAACTCAGCAAAATTAGCTTTTTTAACTGAGATGCCAGGGAAAACAGATGTTGATGAGACAATAACAACAAAATCCACCACCAACATGCAGGTTCATTTCTCATCACCAGAGTCAAGAAGGGCTTCTGTGGATGTTAGAAGGGAGAAGGAGGGAAAGGGAGATATGGATTAATCAGAGAACAAAATAAGGGGCATAGTGACAAAGGACATGGAAAGGGTCAAGGGTCTTGATGACTTCTCTGCCTTGGCCTTTGCTTTAGTTCCTGGCCTCTGCTGAATTCCAAGCTTTGGCCAACCCTTATCCTAAGGAGGAGCTACTGCCAGGCTTCTCTGCAGCTGTCCCAAACTTCTCAGCTGGAGGTGCCCACCCATTCCTTATTGACACATCCCTTTGGAACAGCTGGATCCACCAGTGCTCTGAGCAGAGAGTGCACAAACCCCAGTTGTGGTCGGCTCTTCCAGTGCCAGCCAACCTCAGCAGCCAGTGAGCCAGAAAGGAAAAGTCTCCCTCACGGATATGCTGCTCTTATTCATGTCCACAGCTCCCAAAAGGGATCCCATTCTCCCTCACGACCACCCAGCTGGGAAAAACACCTACCAAAGGGCTGAACAAGAGGGTGTTTTATCACCTTTCCCGTTTTCAAGCACCAGTCACAGGGGGTGCAATCACACCTCGTGGTCAGAATGGAGACATGAACTCAGGTGGCTGTTCCCAGCTGGAAACACCAGTGAAGCACTAAAGATCAGCCACCATGCCCACCCAGCTCAGGTTTGCTGCCCTCTCACTGCAGCAGTCACATTAACTTTCATTATCTCCTTATCAGAAAATGTTCAATCCTGAGTTTAGAGCAGAATATGAAATCAAAAGATACCTGACAAAAAGGACCAAAGTATTCTGGCTTTATATACTGCCACAGATTTAAAGTGTGTTGTTTTTCCCTGATGCAGGGGGGAAAGCAAAACGCTTATGAAAACAACAGTCTAAAAACTGACAACTTTTACAAACTTTCCAAAAATATATGCGTGTTGATGTGTTGATTAGCCTAGTGAATATTTCGATTATTAAATGCTTTCTTTTCAAAGAAAGATTTTTTTCTCCACTCTTTTCACAACTTGGATGGAGTGCTACAAACAGGAATAGGAGCTGGTGCATGCAGAAATTCCTGTGTATACGAACAAAGTACGTTATGTTTGTATAAATGACTGGACGTGGCTACTAAAAACAGCTTTTCACTGCTGCTTTCTCACAGCTTTTTGACACCAGCATCTCAAAAACCCCTTCATTTGAGAGGAATCTCTAAGTGTCTTGCTTAATAGTGAAGGATTTAGGACTTGCCAGTCCCTTACAATATACCCTCCTACAGCTCACTGGGATCTCCAATCTCTGATTTAGCAAAACAAATCATAAAACTTTGTCAACAAAGGTGATGCCCACAGAGGATTTCCCAAGTTATCACCCACTCAGCGGCGCACCAGGAAGCGCTTTGGGATGTAAATTCCAGCCATCAGGAAGCATTGGGAGAGAGCTTTTTAAATCGGCTCCCCGTGAGGTTTTCCTTGTAGCCGCCTCCTGCGGCCGCGATTGGAAGTCTTGCTCCGAAAGTCCAGAGAGAAGCAGCCTCCTTCAGACACCTTCCCTTGGAGATGAACCTTCAGCCATTCCGGGCACGGCTAGGCAAGGACAAGTGTTGGTTTCACACCTGGCTGATGAACCCATTATCACAACGAGTGAAAAAACCCAACAGCATCCGACAAGGACCTTCTTCTGCTGGAAGGGAATTGACACACATCCAGTGCCAGTTTCAACTACAACTGACCTTTCTGCATGCACTCCCATACAGGAACTCAACTGTTCTGCACCCATTTTTAAAACTAAGATAACCTATATAGATACAATCTTGCCGACGACCATAGAGAAAATGAACAGAACAAACATCACAAAACAGCAGGGGAAAAAAAAAGGAATTAAATCAGTTTTTTTTTGCACAACTGGTTTTTGATACTTTATTTTCAGAACTGCCATGAAAAACCTAACGGTTTGTTGTTTTGTTTTGGTTTTTTTTTGTTTTTTTTTTTTTTTTCCCTCAAAGCAAAGTCAAAAACTTGGTTGCTGCTTTGAGGTTTTGTGGTGACCCCACAACTCTCAGACTTCTTTTCCAGGAAAAGGAGCGTGAGGAAATGTGTGGTTTAAGCTACTCACAAGGGGGGAATAAAAAAAAACATTCTTGCTTTGCAAAAGGTGCCTGTTGAAAACACTGCTGAGTGGAAAAAAGATGAGCCAAGGTTTGCCAGAGATGCTATTATGAGGAAGACTGGAAATTTAAACTGTGCATGATGCAAGACTCGACCTGAACCAGCAACTCGTTTTTTATAGGTGGAAGCCTTTGTAATTCTTGCTGCAGTAACAATTATCCAAGATTTCCTTCTTGTTGGTCTGAATATCAAGGAGCAGATTCCAGAACCTGGGAGAAGCTTGACGAGCGGGTTCAGCGCAGTTCAGGGCAGCAGGGAGTGTCGGGGCAGAGCGGGGTCAGTGAGGCTGCTCCCTGTGCTGGCTGGGCTAACAGGGGCTCCAGCATCCATTCCACGAGCCCTCCTCTTGCTGACAGCAGGCACAGCAGCACTTGCAGGGGAAACAATTCAAAATGTTGCAGACTTGGTGCTGGTAAGTAAAATAAACAAAATCAAGTGGGTAATATAATTGGAGATAACCTACTTGCCCTCAGCTTTACTCGAGGTTACCACCGGACATCACAGCTTGAAGAACTGATTCAAGGAGTGATCACAATCATCAACATAATCACACATGCAATAAAATTTTTAAAAATTAGGATTTCTTCTCTTTCTAGTGAATAATTCAGATAGGAATCAAAAAAGTTCATGCACTTATACAAGAGCAATAAAAAAAATTAAATATTTATTTTGAATAACAAGCTTAAGTTCAAGCTGCATTGTTGGCAATGTTGGTTTTAAACACAGATCACAAAAGCGTGCAGAAAATTGTATTTGAGCAAAGAACAAAATAATACTAAGAATTATACTAAACAGCTGCTGATTTTTAAAGAAACAAAAAGGCTTGTAATCACTATACAAAATATAAAATGTATTAAACACTACCATCCACAGAACAGAGGTTTATTTTAGTTTGATTATATTTAAAAATTATTTGTGTAGTTATTTATATAGTGAATTGTAAATGAATATTATACAGTAACCTCCTTTTGGTCTGCAAAACCTTTGTTGCACTATAGCACATCCAATCATGTTGCAAAAAAAATTAAAAAAAAAAGATTTATTTGTCCTTACTATCAATAAAGAAAACAATCATTGATAATACAGTAAATATTGTCAGGTCTACAAATAATGAAATTCAAAATGACTCCTTCGACTCTGAAGCGCTTTCCATGCAAAAAGTCAGCACTTGCTGTTTAAACTGAGTGCACTACCAAGCAATGTCCAGGGTCGTAGATGCTCTTGGTAAGACTAAACTTTACAAAAAATTTTGAAAATAAAATAAAATAATTTTTTTTTTTTTAAATCGAAGATTGAATGCAATCATGCAACCTCTTACTACTGGGTAACCCACTGTGTCTCCTGTCAATTTATTGCCTTTCTGGAATATCACTCAAGGCATCAAAATTAGATTCATGATAAATATACACATAATGAAAGGACACAAACTGCTATTCGACACTACTACTGGTAATGTCTGTGCTACGTGAAAGCACCTTTAAAAAGAGCCTATGCGGCAAGAGATAAGTGTCTAAAGATTCAAAATGAATCAACAGTATTGGATAACAATATAATTCTCAACTCAGAAGCTGCCTCAAGATTAGGTGCATCTTCAGTTAATGTAACAGGAAAAAAAGGCAATGGATTTTATTATTTGTATCCACTCATAAACTGACCTAAGGCCACCAGATGTGCAGACACAACAAGTTTTCTTTTCTTTTTACAGTTCTTTAAATTGTAGGATGATAAGGGAATAGATCTATTCAAAAACAAACAGCTATTTCATCTCTATTAAGAGGTGGCACCGGGCGTGGGATTCACGTTCTGAGTGGCCACCTGTGGTGCCACTTCAATGATCCGGGGTTTGTCTATAATCCTGGCCGTGCGGTTGCCCTTCTCCACAATGCCGATAATCCACGCCTGGTGGCCTTCGCCGTATTTCGGGGACTTGATCTCGGCGCAGAAACGCGCTGCCTGCTCTCGTGGTAAGCAGATGAGGAGGCCTCCTGCAAAGACAGAGAGCAGAGCATCAGAACATCTGACTGAAAAGTATTTCAGCCTCGGTCTGCCAGAGCCCTACTTGGACGAGCTCTTGGTGACTGACTTCAGTGGAGTCTGCTGAACTCCAAAGACTCCAAGAAAAGACACAGAAGTCCGAGCTCTTGCTCTATAGCAAGATGTCCGCGCCTGAATGCAGTGTTTAGTTTCATATAAATGAAGCCAAATACACACAAAAGATGCTGGCAAAAGGACGTGGTATTGATGCCAACAAATGACATACTGAATCAACACCAGCACTGTAACCTTCCTCACAGGACTGCAGAGTGCCTCTACACAGAAACATTTTGGATAAAGGTCATATGCAGATACCTGTAACCACATATTGGCAGCAGCTGATTCTGTGAGTAATCCCATTGCCTGCAATGAAATCATTCATCAAAGCAGGGACCACTGCCCTGCTGAGAATGCAAGAGGCAGAACATGAAGCACAGGCCTGATCCAGTGCTCCCTGTGATTGCCTTTGTGACCCCTTTGTCTGACAATTTTCTAACCTTTTTAGCCTTTCCTGTATGTTTTTTCTCAGACACAATAGAAATTACTTCATTTACTAATGAAGGCTTTCAGAAGCAGCACAGTAATGAGTTAGCAAGCTCACCATTCCACAATTAAACCCAAAAGCACTTCCATTCTTAGAATCCTTAAGCACTGAAGAAGATCGGTTGGCAAGTGAATTGAAAATGTTCGGAGAACACAGAGAGTCGATTCACACACCCTGGAATTTGGGCACATGCTGAGCCTCACTTCTCTTCAACCCAAAGCATCCTCAAGTTCTGCCACACCAGCTCTGAGCCAGCCCTGGGGCAAAGGGCCACCTGCTGAGGTCACCCTGGGCTCAGGTGCTACATCCTCCTCCTCCACAGGCAACACTTCAGCACAGTGGGCACCTCGATGTTTGCTTTTCTGAGCACTCAGTCCCCTCGGTGGTGACTAAAGACACTTTTCATTTGGGGCCATGAAGAAGCACCTACTGAACATGAGGAGTTAATTAAAAGGGTGAGTAAAGTATGAAAGTGATTTTTTAAAAATTCTGTACGAAGAAAAGTGTGCCAGCCAAAAAATGCCTACCTCTCTGACATTTCCAAATAACATCTTGGTATTTCCATCAAACATAACAACAAAAACTCATAAGCTTGAATGACAGTGGCTGTAACTACTCCAGATGTAACAGACAAATCAATTGCAAAGGAATTATGTGACATTCCCATGGAAGGCTCTAAATCCAACTGAAGAGAAATTTATGTCATGGTGGAAGTGAATCAGGGGAGATGTTTGCAAGTGGCAGTGCAAAGAAGGTGCAAACTAGCCAGAAGGGAGATGTGCAAGTATGTTAAAAAAAGGAAAGAAAAAAGAGTAGAAAAGTAATCTTCACTCAATTTTCACACACACAGGCTCTCCCTGCAATTTTGTGTCACTTGTACACATAACCCCCTTATCATTCTCTGGCAAGACCAAAAAAAAAAAAAGAAAAAAAAAGAAAAAAAAAGAAAAAAATCACTCCCCACCTGCTGACTACGTCCCAGTCTGATCAATAATGCTTAAAAAGGCTATGGGCTACTCTCAACCAGCAGCAGGCTTCCTGTATGCAGGGATTATAGTTATTTCTCTGGTACACTGACAGTCTCTTTAACCCTTTGGGTAAATCCTTAAGGTGTTTTTTAGGCTAGTCTGTGTTCTTGGCACCCCCAGCTGCTCTGCTTTTTGGGGACTGAAAGGATGTAGATACTTAGTGGCTCTCCTGGCTTATCTTGGTAAGAACAAAAGGGTTTTCTTCGAAGAGGCTTTGAACACTGCTGGTTTTAACAAGTAGTATTTCAAGCAGGGAAGTAGACACAGAACACTTCAAAAGCAAGCCAGACAAAGCTCTGTAATTAAGAGCAGAGATACAAATAGTTCATGAATCAAAACCAAGTCCTTGCTCCTGCTAATGGCTGTCTCCCGCAATGAGAAAACAGGATGACATCATTAGCCTTGCCTCTTGTCAGGCACGGACACAGCCCTTTTCCACCATCCACCTGCCTATTTCCACCCAATCTTCACAAACACCAAGTCGCTGAGATACCTCTACTACACTAAAAGAGTCATCTGACACCATCCAAAAGTTATTAGGAGTGAAAAATACATACATGTATCAATGTCCCAAACAGAGGAACTCTGACTTATCTCTGCAAGTAGCCACTCTAACAAACAACTCATTCTTTTGAAACCAAATGCCCAGCTGCAACTTTAACCATTACCAACCAAGGAGTTCCTTAAAAGAGAGTGCAGAATCATATAAAAGTGCAATTTTAGGAGACTACACCATTAGCAAGACTGCATGAAGGATGGACCAGATGACATAATACATCTTTTCAACACTGTCTTTTGTCAACAGATGCCCAGCAAATGCACATAGGGGAAAAAAACCCCAACACAATAACCTTAAAATCCATTCAAATAGTTTTCCAGTAGATTTCTTACTGCCTGTGCACTCTGCTGAAAAACATCTGTTCCCAGATGAAGAAGCTACAGACAGAGAGTGTCTAGAAGTTGAAGCCAATAGAGAAGAAGTGTCAGTGTTAGAGTAAGCAGAGCCTTGAGCAGCCCCAGCAGGCCTCCCCACAGCTGGGTATCAGGCACAGCAAGGCAGGCCTTGGCCTCCACATAAATCAAGCCCAGGACAGGAGATGTGCAAACAGCCTGGTCTGAATGCTAAGGAGCCATGCCAGCACAGCCTGCCCAGCTCACACTGCTGACACACACCAGGCCCTGCAGTGTGTGTCAGCAGTGTGAGCCCCAAGCCTGTGGGTGGGTATTCAGCTTCCTGGCCAGCGTATCCACGTGGCTATGGATCTTTGGGGGATCTGGCCTGTGACAAATCCCTGTGGCCACCTCTAATGTGAGAAACACAGCACTGTGATCACATCAGACAGATGTGTTTTGAGGCACCCGCAGTTCACCACCAACCAGATCTGTCTCACTGTTTTCCCCATCATCATCCATCTCTGCACACTGCAAGCTGCTCAGCATTTCAAAGACCTCTTGCTCTCACTCCCAGAAGAGATTCTGAAGTCAAGCATTTCCCACTTCCTGGCAGTGCATCCATCTACACTATTTTACATTCCTGCAGTGAAAAGAGAATTGGGTTTCCCCAAGGTGCAGGGCAGGCAGCTCTGAAGACGTAAACACTCGGTTTGCAGCTAAACCATTCCCACACCAACTGCTACCCAAACCTCTACTACAGCCACTCACCTGGAAGAGCACCTTGCAGTTCCAGCTCTGTATCATGCTATTTTTTTGGCTTTTTCCAAATAATAAATGCTAGTGGCACTCTAGCTATGTGGGCTCCTGGGTTCTAAGAATCTGACCGGTATTACCAACCTCACTGACACAGCTTGCCAAGCTGCCACCAGATATTTCTGCTCCCTTCTGACTGAGTCTGGATTTGGAAAGGGTTCACGTTGCATATCCTATTACACATCATCTGAGCCACACAGTCTCTGTAGGACAGAGTGTCTGCTCAAGCACAGAGGGCCAAGGAACAACTCAGCAGATCAGGGTAAGTTATGTATTCACTAGGGGAAAAGTTTATTGCTCTCACTGTGATGCTCTTTTCCAAATCTTTGACTGTTTTGCTTCAAGGGGCCCCCTCTGTTGTGAACTGCAGAGAACATGGATAATACTTCTGAAGAGCCAGAAGATGGCAGGGAAATTAAATAAGAGAAAAAGACAGATTCGTTGCTACATCTCTCCATTTCCCAAAGAGAAAGAAGAGTCAGACTAAATTAGAAAAAATAAAATTAAACAGAAGATTCAAGATGAAAGTTAAGTAGAAAGACATCCAGCAGATGACAATGATCATGCTCATCAGAGAAGAGCCTACTCTTAATAAGGCAACTGAAAAACCATCACAAGTTCTCATCAAACACTGATGACTCAGTGTTTTTGTCCACAGCCAGATTTCCAGTGCAGCCTGTTGTACTCACTGTCGCTGCAAGTGGCAGCTTTATTGAATTCAAGTAATAAACGGGTCAGAAAGCAACATTTATTTTTCTGCTGCTTGTCACAATCACTAAAGTCAGATTTAATAAAAGTAAAGGAGAAAAACTGTAAGCTATATTCTTGGATGTCTGTATGCTGTGGACAGAGAAGGCCTCAGTTGCCAACACTGGCCCACCCAACACTAAATTTTATAGTAACAAACCAAACACCATCCTTTGTCAGGCAAAACTACTGCCAGTGGCTTTGCTTTTAAGAAAACTGTGCCAGATGCGGTGGAATTTCCAGATATCCACTGTTCTGGGGTTAACAGAGAAAAGCAGGTGTCAAAAGAATTCAGAGTTATCATTAACTTCTAACTGCAGACTGGAGGGTTGCAGGGTTTCTGGAATAGTGATCCCTATGGGAGCAGAAGACATTCAGGACAGGATGGTGGTTTGAAGTCCAGCTGAAGGAATCAGTTGTGAACAGCTGTGTGGCTGCTGCTCATTAGCCTGGCCAGGTGCCAAACCAACTGTGACTCTGAACACACAGCACCAATTTGTGCGTTTGAAATGGAATTCTGAGGTGCAGGTGTAGGGAAGGAAGAAGGTGGCACAGCTGTGACCTACCTGAAGTCTCTGGACAAGTCCCGTGCATGAGGCCGAACATGTTGCCACAGGCCTTGCTGACAGCAGCCATCTTGGCCAGGACGGGGAGGTTGTGGATAACAAAGGACACCTCGTTCCGCTGCTGCTTGGCAAGGTTCTGTGCATGGCCCAGGATCCCAAATCCTGTGATGTCTGTAGCTGCATGTGCATTGAACGTGTGCATGAGTCCAGCAGCTACAAGAGAGGGAGGGGGGAAAGAACACCACCACATCAGAAAACACCCAATTATCAGGAAAGTGCTTTAACAATATTGTGCACAGTCCAAATGAAGTTGCACACCTTTAATGCAAACCAGGATGGGTTAAATAAATAAAAGAAATGAAATCGTGCTTGAAGAGAACTGGAATTCACCAATAGTGCACGTAACACTTAAAAAATTTGATTTGTATTTAAGACATTAAATCATGCCGAAAATCTGTCATGGAAGTTGCATTTATGAGCATGGGCTATTAGACACATGCTACTCCTTTATACTGGCAGTCTAAGAAACGGGTTTGCTTTAGATCCAAACTTCCCAAAGCTGAGGGCCAGCGAGGCTGTGAGCTCAGATTTGCCCCACTAAGGGCAAGGACCAGACACACTCCGTTTTCTCACACCTCTTTACCCCGCCCCCTGCAACGGCGACATCAGAACTTGAGATGTGGACACCAAGTTTGAGAGCTGAAGAACAAAACCTGCGGCTGTGGGGGAAGGGACCCAGCCTCCCCACCTATACATTCATGAAATTCCTGCACATTTGCAGCTCCAGGGTGGGAAAAGGGCACCCGTGCATGCAGGACAAAAGCACCAGTTAGGAGTATTTAAGTGTTGTTAAAGGTGTCTGACAAGAGTAGAGAAAAACAAAACCGAGAACACTTTGACTTTCTTTGGGCGCTTCCCAATAGAGGAGCAGGACCGAGTTCTTTTCCGTAAGACAATGCTGGTCATTTATCTTTCCTGGAAGGCTTTGACAAAGAATGAAAAACCAGGGGGATGACATAAGAAATGAAAACTGAATAAATGGGAAAAGAGATATTTAACTATGCCTGTTCCTTCAACTGAGAAGTAAGTAAGGAAACACTTAATTCTCCATTCTGCCAAAATATACTTTGAATAAAGAAGGGAAATCCTGGATTAAAACTTCTAGGGTAAAAGCAGAACCTTCCCTCTACCAAAATTCAAAGGAAAAAAAAAATCAAAACAAAAGACCCACTATAGGAACAGAAAAAAGACAAACAGAAAAAAAAAAAATTCCAACATACTGCACACTGTGGAAAGCATAGTACAAGACCGAATTAGAACAAAGTAAAAATCTTTTCAAAATCAAAATTTAAATTAAAGCTTACATAAGTTTAGAGCTTTTCATTTTTTTATTCTATTTCAAATTATTTTAATCTTATCACAGCCAGGCCTTCTCTATGCAACAAAGTAAGGAACAAATTCAATATTTTTCGCTTTAAAACATTTTAACTCACTGGGATGTTACTTGCAGCACTCACATGAGCCATAATCATATCCAGCAGCTTTGTGTTTTTGCTGTGTAATTACAGGAGGGCGTTTGATTTTAATTTACTGGTTTTGCTAACAGTGAACAACAGAGAAATGGGGCAGAATGAAAGCGACAAAGTGGCTGTGTCACAATTCCCCAAGGCAGTGAAATGAAGTTGATATGGAATTGAAAATACTCACAATCTCTCCCCTCCAACACACACATCTCTTCTTACCTGTCCTGTTCAGCCGTGCCATATTCATCATTGCCTCCTGATATGCTAGTTCTACATCTTCCTGCGTTACCACGAGCTTGATTTTGTTCCACTTTTCAGGCTAATGGATAAAATAAAAACGTTTCTTTTAGATTTTCAGCTGTACATTTTAAAGCACACCCTGACCACTTAAAAAAAACTCAAACCCTTAATCCAAAATGTACTTTTTTGTAACAGTTCAGGAGGGGAAAAATGTTCCCGTTGGATGTGCTCCTTAGTCTGCTGTACCTCAGCAAAGCTCATGTAAAGATCGATTAGGCACTAAGTACCTCAAATCCTACTTTCAGCAGCTGAGTGGAGTGGAATAAACTACCCTTGGGAAAGAACTTCTTCAAGGCAACTCTCTGGATTGAACTCCCACAGCCAAATTAAAAAAAAAAAAAAAAACAAAAAAAACAACTTTGTTGCTGGATGTTGAAATTTGTAATTTCTGTCTTTTTGGGTTTTTAAGAGATTGTTCTTGATTTCACACGTGGACACTTTGATCAGACCATTGATATCCACCAGTCCTGGTCAGAGGAATGTATGCTAAGGCAGGATATAATCACTCTAGTTTAGGATTAAGGCAGTTTCATAAGCCTCCTTTACAATTTAATACCACCATCTTCCACCCATTCTCCAGTGTCTGTTAAGGTCTTATCTCTTCATCACATTCCCTTAAATGCTCTTCATCCCAGAAGGGTTTCACAACAATTTAGGAAACAGCACCTTTATAAAGGGTAATTGTTACATTCAAAGCTGAAGTGATTCCAGATCCAGAATGAAACAAAGCAACTACTTTCTTTTTCAAAGCCACTGATTCAACTCTTTTTTTTTTGCAACGAAAATAAAATTACAGAGAACTGAAAGGCTTCACAGGATTTTTGAAGCCACAATACTTACATTGACATTTCATAGAGTAAATGCATAGAACAAACATCTTACTTAACAAAAGGTGCAGGAACTACTAGTGGTAATGATGCTACACTGGGAAAGATCATGTCTTATCAAATGAGAGAATCCAGAAATGGCAAAAGGGGGAAAGACTTGTCAGCCAAAATAAATAAATTGTTAAAAAGCAAGGAATGATGGCAACGGGACCAGAGTTTCTGATATTAGGTTGAACCAGATCTACCAATTGAAGACAGACATTTTTGTTTACACAAATGAGAGACCAAAAAATAGTCAAAAAATAAAATGTGGCAGAGATGACAGAATATTGATTATTCTTACTCTGGGAATGACTGAAAAAAATCTGAGCAGTCATTCTGCCTTAGGTTTCAAAAACAGTTCTGAGGCTGATCCCAGGACAGAAACTGGTCAGGTGATGGCAATGGAAATCACAAATGATGTGGAAGCAGAACTCAAGGCTGAGGGTAGAACAGCCACAAACACAGGTAAGATATGAATTGGAGGAAAATTCCTCTCCACTACAGCAGCCAAGGTACTGGGGTTAGTCAACAGGGAATTAGAGTGAAAAAATGTGCAAAAACTCCCAAAGAGGTTATAAAAGCAAGACTGGATTTCCAAATAGGAAGGGTCTGTAGACAACAGCAAAGAAGGAGAAAAGCCTCTCTTCTCTGAAGGGGCACGTCCCAGCCCCTTTCATGCCTTTAAGCATGCATATCTCTACAATCCAGTTTGCCTTTCTTATCTACACATAAACTTGCTATACTACACCCTCTCCCACACACTTTTTAATATGAAGTCAAATTCCCCACCAAAATTTGATTTACAGGTGGGTTTGTGATGGGTAATTAATTCTAGTTTCACTTTCCCTGCATTTTCACCAAAAAAAAAAAAAAAAAAAAAAAAAAAAAAAAAAAAAGCTAAGGAAAAGGTAGCATAGCTACTCAGAAATTTTCCTACCACAATCAAAGATATATTCTGTTTACATATAGTAATAGCAGTATTGATTTCCTGGCTGTCCTCATTTTTCAGACCATGTTTTTCTGTTTGACAGTTGAGGAAATTAGTAGTATTTGAAATATGTGGAAATTCAGAATAGCCTTAATTTGCAAGTCTGCTCATCAGTACAACAAGGAGATATGTTAAGAAGTAAGATTATGACCAGAAAACATACTATGGAATTGGGATCTTATTTCACTTCATTTTCATATCAAGATTATCTGAGGCCCTGATCCTTGTATCTGTGGAAAACACAGGATTCTGAAGAGGTCAAACTTGCTAGGCCAGACCCTATGAAGAAGGAGAAAAATATTTTTCCCTTGTTGCTCACACTTCAGACTCCAATGAAGGTTTAAGCTGATTCTCTCCTACTTTGCTAACACTAGCTGTGTTAATTAGAATTCATCTGACAATGCAGTGGCCAACAGCCAAACCAAAGTATATTCCAGCTCACTCCTCTGCCAGTCTTTTGGCTCAGGAGTCCCAAAAGTAGAAGAGATGCATCTTTTTAGAGTGTAAACTGAGCAGTTATAATTCGGAAGTCACGTACTGGGAGCCAGACAACATAAGCAGATGCCAATTTTGCAGTTACTTTTCAGTTCAGTAGTTACATTTTTGCCTGAAGTAACAGATGGAAGTATGTCTACATCCATAATGCTGCTAGAAATATTCTTACTGAATGCACAGGGCAATACATGTGAAACGCAGATAAACTTACATGTACACAAGCAGAAAGCCCAAGAACACAGAGAGAGCATTCTTGGCCTAATTGCCATCAGCAAGTGTTGCCAATTACTTTGGCAGGTGGAGTAGGGCATAATGTTGCCCAGGGTGATAGTCTGTTGTTCTGTTAGTAAACAATTTTGGTTATTACAGCAATGACTGAGAAATAACTAAGAATTAGGTGTAATTAAGATGGGCTCACTAAGCACAAAATTGTAAACTGCCTTGATTCCAAAGGAATGTTGCACACAAGTAGGGAAGGCTGGAGCATATCAAGGAGGAAGGAGGAGGGAGATGACAGATGACTCCCATCTGAGCTGAACTTTGTCACTTGAGGGAATGAGGAAGGTCATCTTTATACCTCTTCCCTATTTCTTTTTTTTTTGCAGTGTACTCACAATATCTAGCCACTGGTGGACAGCTACAGCCACTTGTGTTCCCAAGGGTTTAGTTAATACAAGCACATCTCCTGGCACTGCATTGTCTGGCCTGGAAACAAAGAATTCATATATTAACTACACAGCAATATTCAAACACGTTATTAGGAATAAGTGCTGATAATTACATTTTCACAGACCCACACATCTTACTGCACAGTTAAAAAATGGACTAATTTCAGAATTACCCTTTGAGATTCATTGCCATGCAATATTATTGAAGAAAATACTGCAAGCTTGTTTAAAAAGTGCTAATCCTTCTTTCTTGGAAAAAACAATGCTTGCAGTCAGACACACCAAATTACACCTCTTCTTTCAAATTTTTGAGACATAAGAGAGGATAAGGCAAAAAATGTACCTTTTTTACCCAGGGCATAAGATATCCAGCATTAGGATCATGAATGGGTTCATTTGTACAGAGTAACATGCCACAATGGGACATTCAAAATCAGCTGCTGTTAAAATGGACAGAATGCTCCAAAGACAGCAGTTCTGTAGTTCTCTACAGCCATTAACAGGATAATTGGGACATGGTTTAGAAATGTATGTATAAGTGGCAGAAATTTATGTTCAAAACAATCTCCACTACCTTTAAAGATTAGATGCTTAATTCTCCTGTCAAAAGGAGAACAGGATCAAAAAGGACTGGGGGGGTGGGGAGAAGTAAAAGGACATCCTGTTTAAAAAAAAAGCAAATATGTACAAAGAGATGTGACATCTTGTTGAGTGCTAAGGACAGATGCAAGCAGAAGGTACTGCTTTATTCATCAGAGACACACCACAAGATCACAACACAGTGCTTAAAGGATTTTTACTGTATCCCTCAGACCAGTGCCTTTGATTGTTTAGTGATTTAACTTACATTATAAATTCATTAGGCTGACAGACTGTCGTGGCCACTCCTCCTAAAACAATCCAGGGATTTAACACTGTTTGGCCACCAGTAACAGATGTTCCTGCCTCTTCTGCTGCATCTTTGAAACCCTGGATAATTAGAGGCATCACTTTGTCTCTTTCCTAGAGATCAAAACAGAAGTCAGAGTTCCATACACAGCAGTGCTAGTAATTACAAGACTGGTCCAAGGCTTTAACCACTCCAAACAAACGCCCTCGTGGCAAATAGACAGAAAAGCAACCCTTAGGAAGAGTCTGTCCTCCTGGAAACTGCATGTTATCCCACAGAGTTACAGTTTTACAGCTCTGTGTAGAAGAGGTGCAAAGGCACTCTCACACTGAAGAAACATTGTTCAAAAGGTCATACAAGAGTAATTAGAGTTCTGGAAACTCAGAACAATTATCCTGCTGCTGTAATCAGGTACAGCCACAGCAGAGCAGTGCTAAAAGGCAACATTTAACCAAGATGGCATTTGGGCTCCACTGACTATCAAAGTTTCAACTTACATCCTTCTAAGAATAAACGTGCTTGCAGTCAGACACACCAAATTACACCTCTTCTTTCAAAAACAAACAAAAAAAAAAAAAAAAAAAAAACACACACCCACCCAAAAAAAAAAAAAAAAAAAAAACCCACACACCCCCACACACAAACAAAAAAAAAAAAAAAACAAAACAAAAACAAAACAACCAACCAAAAAACCAAAAACAAAAACAAAAAAAAAAAAACAAAACACCAAAACCCAATCAACTCATCATCTATGCAGATTGATAGATGAATTGGCAATCAAATGCTGGCCTTGGATAGAAGGAGGCACCCCATTTTGGTGGGGATGAAGGCAGCAGATCACAATACCACAGAAAACTGAACTTTTAGCACATGACCTCAGAATGCTTATGAGGCAAGATCCTATGAACTAAGCCACTCAATAAGACCATCTCTTCTTTACACAGCTTCAAACTTTGAGGAGAAAATACACTAAAGGTAAATACATTCTGAGCACATTTGGCTGTTTGACTCTTCCTTCAAGAAAAAGTGTCAAAAGTCTTACCCTATCTGTCATTTTATTGCTGATTCCAAGGAGCATCAACATGTTATCACATTCTGTGACCCCCATGGCATAAAGGTCACTTAGGACATTGGCACACGCTATTCGTCCCTGAAAAACAAAGAGACAAGAAAAAAAATCTGCAGCACTCTTGGTGAATGTTTAAACATTTTCCACAAGCAAAGCTTCCAGTGTGAGTTTGCACTCTGACACAGCTTCTTACTCCACAGCATTAAGAAACCCAACTAGAAATGTGGTATGATCCATTTTGTGCTATGTGCCCACCTAGAAGTGCAGGTATCCTTCCTTTTACAGGTATGCAGAGAATTCATCCCAGCTGTCATGGTCAGCACACTCTCCCACACTCCATAGGAATCCCAGAGTTCAGACTGGATGCCCAATCTGAGAGGCTGAAGTTAAGATCAACAGATCTGTCCCTGATCACAAGCTCTGTTTACTTAACATGGTATTTTCCTGTTAACTTTATTCCAGCACAAAACTGTACATCCTGATAGAGATGGCCACGGCGTGGAACTCACAACTGCTAGGAAGTTAATCCAAAAAGCACATATTGCTGAACTTGTGCATCAGAATATGCAGGAGATGGGTCCTTGATGAGAAAGATGTTTGTTCCCTGCCCTACTCTGGAGGCCATGTCTGCAATCCTCAGTTTCTAGGATAGAACTCCTCTTCCCCGAGGATACAGCTGTGCTGCCAGCACACACCCACACTGGGCTGCTTCCTCTGCCCTGGGGATGACAGCATGTGCAGGCAATAGGGAAGCTCAGGGCTCCCAGGAACTGGATTTGCCACCACTGAGGGAAGCTGTGTACTCCCACCACTCGCACAGTGAGAGAGATGTGTTTATCTGTCACTTTCCAGGTGACAAGATCAGGCTGAATTCTGCTACAGCACCAACAACTTTACTGACTTGTGTGTACATATGAGTATTTCCACTAACAAAAACTTGTACAAGAGACAAAACTGTCTGTCTGCTGAAGATTCCTCTAAGAAGTCAGGAAGCTGATAGGACTGAGAAGCCATCACTCACATTGCATGAGGTCAGTTACTCTAATTGTACTAAATTAATGGATCTGACTCAGGGTTTCTGAGGTATGGACCCAGCACAGGTAAAACATCAAGTTTCCTGATGAAGATGCAGAACTTCCTCATACAGGGTGTGTTCTAAGGGACAGCAAGATATTTTAAAATACAGGACAAATTCTGTTGTGTTACTCTGGAAGACTCCATGCATTCTATGATAGCTGTTTTACGTTTACAGCTGCAGAACTGTAACCAACACCTAGCTTTATGATTTTAAGTCTGTGCTTTTCATTACATTCAAAGGCAACAGCACCATGGTAAAAGCAACGACATGCTTATTTGATACAATTTGCAAATAGGTAATACTTTCAGGCAGTTACTTCACTTGCTGATGACATGAAACAACATCTCCAACTCACAAATAAATATAATACAGTTTTTCATAAATTCAAGAGTTTTCAGTGGCATCAGGGGAATCCCTGACTATTGGAACTGGAATACATTTTAATAATTTAAATTTTAAACTATTAAGAAAAAACTTGTGTACTGCACTATTTGATGGATATTAGCTGTTAAATTTCTACAGGCCTGCCATTTCCCTTTTGTGGAACTATCAAGCCATTCTCTGTTATCTTCAGTATTTACCAAGCAAACTGCTGGTTAGTGCCCTGTTAGGAATGACAGATAAGTTTTTAAAAGCATAAGGACAATACCTCTGATAGTCAGAGGTCAGTCTAATAATGCTTTTGCCAACTGCCAAAACCTCTATGGAAACAAATTCAGGGAAGTGCAGTTCCCAAGTCTGAGGGCTCTTGTGAACCCCACAGGGCTCACAGACAGAGGTGAGCCTGGGCAGGTCCTGCAGGTCACCTGCCTGCTTGCACAGTGCCCTGGAACACAAAGATCTGTGTGCAAGACAAAGAATTATTTGTAAGGGCAAAGGATGAAGAATCAGACACCTCTCTTGAGTGAAAGTTCTCAAAACAGCAACAAAAAGGTAGCTGGATGGAAGGGGAAAGATGCACTCTCTCAAAGCAGCCAGTTCCCTGCTCCTGTACTCCAACATGTATCTCCACAGTGCTGCAACAGAGGCCAGCATCCAGTACTAGTCCCAGTGGATTGATACGTATTATGAAACCTTTTTTTGATCGTTTGTAACTTTTCTAATAAACCATTTAAGCTAAATAAATCCTGTGCTTGATACAGATTTTACAGGTGTACATCCTAGGGATAATTTTCCCCATGGACTGAGTGTTTTTCAAGGACAAAGTGAAAGTGAAGGAGAAAGAGGAAAAGAAGGAAGAATGATCTTGCATATAACTGCAGAACTTCGTTTTAAAATAAGCAGTACAAGAGTGAAAGCTGTTTTCTGGAGCAGAAATAGGAATTTCAGCTGAGTCCACAAGCAGTTTTGCCTTCCTCAGCTGTTTCCTAATCCCTTCTGTCACAGCACCCAGCCTGGAGCTCATTTGCACTTCTGGCTTTCTCTCTTTGCTTCCTCTCCTCCAATTAGGAAGAGAGATCAGATAAGGAGCTGCAGGTAAACCCTGTGCACAGAGAAAGGAAGACACTCTACGTCAGGGAACACCCACTCAAAACCAGATGAGAAGTGCCTGGGTAAGGAGACCGAGGAGAAGGGCAGGGAGAGCGTGCAGGTGGATACTGGTACACAGTAACAACAGGCATGGGTCTGGGGACACCTGGACTTGAAGCAGTTGGAGAAGCAGGGTAGCAGTAGCGTGTCTCGAGCAGAGGAGGCCAGAGCACAGCCCTTTATACAGCCTGGACACAAAATTCCCAAGTCTCACAATTCCTCTGCTTGTAACAGCCATCCATAACCACCGTGGCAAACTGTATTTGACTGTCCTCTAACCAATGTTGGTCCACACAAGTAAGAGGTAATCTATACTGTCCCTTGGGGTTCTCTTGCCCTCAAAAGAGAGGTCTGAGCAGAGGGTCCAGGAGCAACATCCTGCTGGATCATCATTGGTGGTATCAGCAAGAAGGCTTGAGACAGAATCCCCATCCTCAGTTAGCTCTTAAGAAGAAATACACATATGTAAACAGATTAGGAAGTTGCCAGCCACCAGGTTAAAATAAATGCCTCAAGAATGAAAAGTGAAGGACTTGAGAGTTAGACAGCACCAAGGTTACAGCTGCTGGTGCATGTGGATCTCAGCACAGACTGTTAACTGTGATGCAACCACTGAAGCTGGACTAAAGCCAAATTTACATTCCACTCCTACCACACTGACCTAAACCTCATCTGGGCACAGGCCCATCTATCTACTCCTGTGGCATTTGTATCTCCAAACAAAGCAACCCTCCCCCTTCACCACAACCTTCAACACTGTCCCTCAAGTTTTTGTTACAAGGTGAGAAGAGAGCGTCTCAAATGATGAGCACAGATCTCCAAAACATTTTTGCTCCTCTGGTCCCTGACAAGTTCCCACATGATATTAAAGCAACCCACTTGAATCAAATTTCCCAGGAGAGCTCAACAACTCCATACTCCAGAGGCCAGCCTGAGATTTTTGGCTGCTCAGTTTGCAGAAAGAGAGCTCTCCTGGAAGAGAAATTACAGGAGCTAGGCTTACATATGTGCACAACACGTGGTCAAGCATGCTAAAAAAGAAAAAAGGCCCCAATTTCAAACTGTGTCCAAAACCTACCAGAGAGGTCTCGCAGAGCAAACGAACTGACAGCAGCACATAAAACATTCAGTCACACAAGCATCAAGAAAAGCAATGAGCCACATCCAAACCACAGAAAATATGAATTTTAGCACCATTCATTTAACATTTCCTTATAGCTTTATTAAAGTATTTTTTAAAGCTTATTTGTTTCTCAGGATCTGTTCAAATCAATACTGATCACTGCCACACATGCAGGAATGTCAGTTGAGACAGACTAAATGTGACAGGAACACAGAATGAACCAAGGCCAAAGTGCACACACCTTCCAACCAGTCATTTCCATGTGTCCATGGTCAAGTGGAGATAGCACCACAGGAAAGCTGGTGTTCACAAGGCACTCTGAAACTGCCAGGTGCTATTGCCAACTACTGACATGTAGGTATTTCCAGTTCTAAGAGGTTACCTGGTTATTTCAATACCTCAAAAAAGGCCAATTACAATGTGGTTCTGCTTGTAAATGGAGTTCATTCTCTGCTACTTCACAGGCTGTTCTCTTTCCCCCTTTTGGGCTTTTCAAACCAAATCCCACAGAAAAAGAGATGAAGGGAAATCTGAATTAAAGGTGGCAGTTCTCCCAACTTTCACCTACACAGAAAGCAGCACTGCAGCATTCCTGACCAACATGGGAGATTCCAGGATGAAATTATGCCTTTCCCTTTTCATGTCTATTTAGGAAAGACTCTGAATGCAATTAATCACACAAATAGCACTACACATCTAGAAGAAAATGTCAGAATTGCCATCAGGTAGGTGAGAAGCCTGAATCAGCAACAAACCCAAGAACCAAGTTTAGCCAACTTACCATCATATAAGGGTCATCCACAATAGGATAAATATAATCTGTCGTCTGGACTAATGACAAACCTCCGTGTCTTAATGGAATAACACAAGTGTCCATTCCAATTCCTGCAAAGACAGAAATCCATGAGTGAGGTTGGTAACTGTGCCCTAAATTATCTGCTGCTATTAACAAAAGAGTTCATAAAACATGTCTGTGAAATACAACTCCTAACATTGCCTAAACAGACAAGGCAAATTCCTTTGCCAGAAAAAGCACATAGCGCAAGTAAGAGGGAAAAACAAGCAAAGAAAGAAAACTCCTGGTTGGAACAGAACACAAGTGCAAATGGCTCAAGGCAAGAACTAAACTACAATGTTTTTTATTCTTTTGCAGCAGCATAACAGCACATCAAAAACATCTGTGTTTTTATGTAAGTACATTTAAAGTTAAGAGGAACTAAGTACACTGATATTGCCAAAAGCAAATAGGTTTTCCTGTCACTCTGATCTCAACAAAAACACAGTGACAGTTGTGAAGGGACACAGCATCTAATAAAGGACATTCCCTCACTTCAGAAGTCACAGCCCAGGCCCTTGGTGAAAGATGATTCACCCACTTGGAGCTTCAGCAACTGCATTAGCCTTGCCTGGCACAGCTGGAAGGCTGCAGAGCACCTGAGAGATACAGAACTCCTTGGAGAAAACCACAGCTCTGAGCACCACAGCCTTTTCCCTGGCAGTGGATATTTCAAACACAACATGTGATACTAGAACCCCCCAGCATTTGCTGCCACAGAAGAGCCCACACCAAAGGGGCAGGTGACAAATCACAACATGCTGGCTGACCACACTCCCCTGTGGATAGCCTTGTGTCCTGCAGCAATGGCAGGAAGCTTACCTCCTTCCTGGGCTGGCAGCAAGCTACCTGGAATTACTCTGCATGCCCCACAGGGCAGGAGTCTTCAAAATAGCCCATTTTTAGGGAGCAGATGTCACACAGGAACTTTTCACCATGTATTAATGAAACACACTACCCTAGCAAGAGCTACAAAGCAGTGTTTGCAGTGTCCTGTACAGGGATGGAACAAGCTGCTGTCATCTGAGGGGACAGAGGTCTGCCAGGCCATCAGTGTATAGGTGGAGAGGATCTTGCCTCTCCTGCTTAGAGAGGAAGGAGATCTTGCCTTGGAAGAGAACACATACTAACAAGCTCCCAAGCAGTAATTTAGGGTTGCTCAATCTCCAGAGAAGCTCCCAAGCCACTATGCCTCCAGGGAAGGGCACTGAAGCAGTTACAGAGAAGTGGTCCAGGTGCAGGAGCTGTTTTGCCCTCAGTTCACCTATTCATGCCATAATGCTGCAAAACCAACCCTGTTTGACATACAGACCAAGGGGCTGGGATGATGGTCCTTCTGAGGCTGTGTTAATGTTCCACCAAAACAGGTCTGAATAACAAGTGAATTTGTTCAGAGCCATGACTGATTTCAGATCCATAACAGCTCTGAGAATAAACATCAGATTAAAAAGTTTCTTACTCACAGTTGTATTTAAGTTTGCTCTGGGTAATGTCTCTTGGAGAACTAAAAAGGGGAGAACCTGCTGCTGGCAACCTCCCTCCTGACTGTATTTCAAAAGCATGATGCCCATGCACAGGTGGCAAAGTTACATGTTTATACCTTTTAAGCACAAGACATCAAAGACAAATCTCACACCAAACTTATCCAAAGACACATTTGCTAAAGGGGTACTCATCACAAAAGCATATTTTAAAAGAGATCTGAACTGTTCACCTTTTATTATTAACAGATTTTCTGTTACATAGTATCACACCTACACATTGAAGGCTTAAATCTACTTTTATACCTTTTCATATAGCTGTAGAAGAAAAGTCTACTAGAAGTTCCATTATTGTTTAGAGCCTGTAAGTTTGTAAGAGAAAAGAAATCTAAATCAAACTACTGGTGATTTTAGAAAATTGTCAAACTGAAATGCTGCTGTGAACACCTTACTTAATATAGAAAAATACATATAAATAGCAATTTGGGGATGAAAAAAAGATGGCAGTGTCCTCTACCAGGGAATATTAAATGATAGTGCCACCCCAGCTTCACACACAATTGCTGCTTAGATACTTCATACAAAGATCCCCATTGTTTAAGCAGGAGCATGGGTGCCTTACTAATCTCTGATTATATTCAATCTCTACCAGAATAGTGGGTTGCAACCTGTTAGCCTGCTAATAGACAATTAGCAATGTCGATATAATTTTAAATAAGGTTATTGAACACTAAACTGATAATAACTTCAGAATAAATGCTCCATTGATATTCCTAAATTGAGGGGAAAAAAACCATTCTGCATTGCAAAGAGATTGAATATGCAGGGCTGAGTAAATAGACAAACAGAATTAAAAGTGTCATTAAACACATTATCTACATTAATTTATCTATATCAATATTAGGTACAGTAGCTGGTATCAAAATACCTACGTTTGCCCTGTTCCCCATGTAGGTGGCTTGTGCAGGTTGTTTTCCCTTATTGCTTGCATCATTGTGCAAATATCAAAGAGAAAGTGAAGCTGGCAAGAACACAGAGGTCTTGGAAAGGCAGCCTTTCCCAGGCAGCTTCTACAGGTGAGCAAAAGAGTTAGAGTGGGGAACAAGGAAAGGACTCAAAGGAATAATGACAATTGTGAAACAATTCACTCCCAGTCCGCTGAAGCAAGGAAGTTCTCTTGCTCACTTTTTGTGACCCAGGAACAGAGGGGAGGGAGATGGGAAATTCACCTGGGAGTCATCCAAATTCATTCATCCATTGCATCAAATTCCAAATGCAATGCACGAACATAAAAGTCTAGAAATTAACTGAGAGGATTTCAGTTTGCACAGCATCTACTGGGGGAAAGGGAGGAGCAGACCAATACCTAAGCATGTTGCCATCACAATGGCCATTCCTGAGTGTTTTGCCTTTGTATTTGAGTGCACTGCAGGATGTTAAATAATTAAGATAATATTCTTGTATCCCAGATGCCAACAAATGACAGCATGAGATTCATTCTTCAGCTTTCTGGATGCTGTGCATGCATTATACAACACACAGTTTTCAAACTGGTTAAACAAACCACAAATGTGATCGTGTCACCAAGTAAACCTAGCAGAAGGGCAACCAGCGTGTCCAGAGCAGCAACTACTTACCCAGCCTGGGCATAACTGCCCCCAGGAACTGTTCATCTTCCTGAAAATGGTTTTCTTGTAGAGATTCCAGCAGTTTCTGTAAGACATCCTGCGGCACTTTGCAGCCTGTGCCCTTCAGTTCAGTGAATCGGGTCAGACGGAAGCTCTTGTCCAGTTCGTAACTTTCTGGGTTAAAGGACTCCCGAACAGACATGGTTCTCTCCCACAGACTGCCGGCCTCTCCCACCCCAGAGCAACGGGATCAGTTTCTCTGCTGATCAGTCTTATTGAAAAATAAAAATAACAATTAAAAAAAAAGGAACATTGGAAAGTCCCGTGACCTGCAAGAAAACGTGTTTTCCACATGGTGCAAGTGCTTGCTATGGTTGTTCACCTGTTAAGACAGGTGTGCGCATCTCACATAACTCATTTCCCTACGACTACAAAGGGATGACTTCTCATCCTATCTTCTGACATTTAAAACTACAACTGTGCCAGGTGAATCAGAGAATTAAGTTCTTTTCCAGATATGCTGCGTAAGGTTTTCATTAAAAAAAAGAATCTAACACACTTACCGTCCTCATTTAACACAGAGGTAATGAAAGAAATAATAGTTCCCAGAGCACAGAGGCCAACTTCCAAAAGGCAGCCTGGGCCCTGATCCTGCAGCATGCTCAGCAGAGACATCTGTTTGCACTCAGCTCAGTGTGGGGTCATAACTTTAGCCATTAACATATTAATCTCAAAAATAGGATGCTTTTCAAATAATGGCTCTGATTCAGTCCTGAAGTAAGAAGCTGAAGTTTCATAATACACCTGTACTCCTTGGGAGGAAACACAGTCCTGGTGTTGTGTTGGCACAGGTAGCAGAAGAACAAAGAGGCTGTATTGAAGCAGAGTGCTTCACCTTTTAGCATGCCAGTTTACCTTTTAGCATGTTCACAGACAAAAAAATGCTGAAAAGTTTCTTGCCTCTTCAGCCCTTTTTTAGTCAACTAATGATACGGAAAATCAGACAATTGTCCATTAAAACAGTAATGTAAAAAGACACTGATGCAATTCATTTAATAAAATTCTTAACAATGCATGTCTAATTTTAGAACGTTTTTCCACTCTGACTCACATCCACCACACTCCAAAACTAATAAGAGGCCTGAGACACTGACTTCTAAACAGGAACGGCTGTGATAAAATACAATTCATCTTTCTCAGAGAACAAGTTTTCAGGAATTACCAAAAGCAATCTGTCTAGTAGTAGTTTCTTAGAAAGCAAAGATCCTATGTAACAGCAACAAGAACAGAGTTCAGAGGCATCACTGACAAAACCTGATACTGATGGTCATGCCCTAATGAGGTTAAGCTGAAAAGAAGAATTCAAGGGACTCGTATTTGCCAAGTTCAGCTTTGCTAAATGAAAGAAAGAAGTAAATCTACAGACTGTGCTGTATCTGCCCTCCATGGCACTTATTAACAAGCACATCTGTTCCATAAACCTTTAAGTCAATTTATTGTCTGCAATTTGTAGGAACTGAAGTTTTAAGTTCCCTGAGAACTTTTGATGTGGAGCCCAACTCCCCTTCACTGTGTTTTCCCTCCTTCTCTGGGAGGTGTGGCACTTATTTAAAACAAATCTTCCAAAGCCTAGGCTCGGGCAGAAATCCAAACTCTAGTTACAAGAACGTGTCTTGGATGAGCAATGAATTCAGTTCCTAGCCGTTGTCTTCCAATGCAAGACACTAAGCACTTGCAAAAAAAAAAAAAGTGTCTGGAAAACAACCTGTCAACAGAAATAGGAGACAAAAGCTTTTCAAGGAGGGAGGGATTTTTTTTTCTTCATTCTTTTTTAACGCTTCATTCTAATTAATTCCAGAAAACTATAAAAAGCAGCTTGCCACATAAGAGAAACATCATCCTTCATCTAACCAATAAGTGCAACAAGCTTAGCACCCCCTGCCTACTTACACAGGGATGGATGCAGAGGCCACAGCCTACCAGGAAATTTTTGAACCCTCGAGGACTGCAAGGACACAGTTCCCCCGTTTGGCAACAACTCGTGAAACAAACAACATGATTTAATTTAATGGAAAACATCCCCAGTGAAACAATACGGTAACTTCTAATAAAGATCTGATTAAAGCTGCGTGCAACTGTGTAATTCGCAGACTCCCATGGGAGCAACATTCCAAGTTTTGGTGACTTCGGTGGTCACAGCACCGAGCCTAGCAGAGTTCACGAAGAGTTTGGACAACTCTCAGGCACAAGGTGTGATTCTAGGGGCTGTCTTGTGCAGAGCCAGCAGCTGGACTGACGGCACTTGAGAGTCCCTGCAACTCAGAACATTCTGCGATTCTGGCAGTCCATGCAGCATTGCGATGTGAGTGACAAGCATCCCTCCCCAGCAGCAGACAACACCTCCTAACCCAGACGTTTCTTACTTTAAAAGAGCGGCATAATAAATATTAAAAGCTAAAGTTTAACCCTTGCCTTCCTAAAGAGCAGAGAGAGGGGAGCACAGGAGCCAAAAGTGGGGGAGGGAGGGAGAACTGGAGCCAGCAACATACCCCAAACAAACCCCAGCGCACCCACGGCCAGCCCGACCGCCCGAGACACACGAGGCGAGGCGCTGCAGCCACCATCGATCCGGGGAATGCGGCGGGCAGCGCTGCGGGCAGACATGGCTCCGGGACACCTTAAATTTCCAGCCGCTGCCTTTAGAGGCAAACCCGGGGCCTTCGCTGCCGCTCTTTGTGCGGCCGGAGAGGCGGCGGGGGAAGAGGACGAGGAGGAAGAAGCTGCGCGCGGAGCGGCGGTGCCAGCGGCCCCTTCCCGGGGTGCGGCGGGGACGGAGCCCGCGGGTGTCCGACCGCGGTGTCCCCCGTGTCCCCACGTGCAGGTACGGTGTCACCGGGGCGGGGTTCACCCCTCGCTGGCGGGGTGGGATGTTGGGAGCAGCCACCCCCCCACGCCGACTGTCCGTAATGGGGAGGGAAAAAAAAAAATGTCGGCGGGCGAAAAATTTAACCCGTCCGCTGCCGGCGGCCAAATTTTTTTAAAGCGGCCGCATCGCGGTGAGGCGCTGCCCCCCCATCCCCGCTCCTTCCTCCGCCCTTCCCCCGGGGCCGGGCCGAGGGAGGGCGGCGGGGCCCGGGCCAGGCGGGCACCCCGCGCCCCGGCCGCGCCGCGCCACCCCCCGCGCCCGACCCGGCGGGAACGGCGGAGGCGAATTCCCCTTTAAATCTCCCCGCCTTGCACCCCCCCTCCTCCTCCTCCTCCCTCCTCAGGTCTCCCTCTCACCGGCTCTCGCCGCCTCCTCGCCCTCCGCCTCCTCCCGCGAACGGGACTCCCAGCGCGGTCCCACAATGCACCGGGCGCGACGGGCTCCCTCAGCGCCGCCTGAATAGAAAATGCCGCCGCCGCCGCCGGGCACGGGGGGGTTAAACCCCCCCCTTTTCCTCCCTTTCCCTGCTTTTCCCTCCCTTTCCCTCCCGCCTTCCCGCCCCCTCCCGCTCCCCCTCACGCCGCATCCCACGCGCGTTCCCGCGCGGGGGCGCGCGCCGTTGCAGCGCGACATGTCGCGACACCGCCTCCCCCTGACGCCCCCGCCCCTCGGCTCGGCACGTGTGGGCAGCCCGGGTGTGTGTGGGGGGTCTGGTCCCTTCATGCAATCCCGGAATATCGAGGCTGGGAGAGACCTTTAAGATCGAGCAGTCCGAGGCAGCGCTGCCGCTGTAACCCCTTAGATGCTAAACCGCATCGCCCAGCGCCCGACCCGGCAACTCTTGAACCCGGCTCCGGGGACCGGGACTCCACCACCTGTCTGGGCAGCCTAACAGGGAAAAATTCTTCAGTATGTAATCTGAATCTCCCCTGTCTCCGTTTAGGCCATTTCCCCTAATCCCAGAATTGATTAGAAATCGATTGGAAAAGACCTCTGAGATCGAGTCCAGCCTGTGACCAAACACCGCCGTGTCAACCGGACCGTGGCACTGAGTGCCGCTTCCAGGCTGTCCTCAAACACCTCCAGGAACGGTGACTCCACCAGCTCCTTGGGAACCTGCCCTAATGACTAATCATCCTTTCTGTGGAGAAATTCTTCCTCACACAGGCTGATGTTACCCCTGAGAAGCATGAGTCTGCCTGTAGAATTCCTTGCTCGGACACCTTCAATATGAAAACTTTGAGATCGGGAACAATTTGCGTGGGAAATTTAACCAGAGCTGAGGAGACCTGGCACTTGCAGAGCCAGGTGCTCCACTGATGCTGAATTTTGCCCAGAAACTGGACAAAAAGTCACATTTGATCCACGTCACACCAAAATGTTGGGCAAGAAGGAAAGTGAGAGGGTCAAATGGACCTGACAATGGGCAAAATTTGGCCAACATCAAATTTTTCTGAGTGCAGAGCCAAGACAGTGGCCCCAGGGAGATAGAAGTCATTTCCTCAGGTGTCGTCTCCAAGGGGTTTGATTTGTGGCCCGTGGAAGGCTGCAGGTACCACAGCAGGAGCACTGCGATGTGGCTGGTTGTGTCAGCTGGTGACATTTTTTACCCAGAATGTGGTTTTGAGCATGCTTCAGGAAAAACGTTATCCTGTTTTGCAGCAGGTGGTGATGGGTTCAGCACAACTCTAGGAAGCTGTGGTGTGTTTTAGTAGCCAACAGCCAGGATTGTCACAGACTACTTGCTCAAGTCCACCCTTTTCCATCACTGATTTGCAAAGTATCCCATTTTTTCTTATGCATTTAATATGCAGACCACTGGAATACAACATGTCTTTAACGTGTCTGATTTCCAGTGTCTTCTCCGTTCGTTTTTATCCCTGAAATTGCTTTTTGTGCTTCCAAAGACCCTTTCCCCAAATGGTTAAAGTCAGGATTCAGATGAATCTCTTGCTTTATGTGCAAGACAAGTTTTCTCTAGAAAGGAGGGAATTTCTGTGTTAGGGACACCACAGGGCCCAGATTACATTTCCAAATAGATAAAACAGGCACTTTGCTTCATGTAATTTGCAGTTAAGTACCTAATTAAGTAATTGCCTGTTAATTCAAAGATTGCTTTTCCTGCAACTGGTTTTGAAAAAGTCTTGTCTAAAAACAAGCAGAAAGAGGAAAAAAAAAATAAACTGTTGCTTTCTTTGCCTGATTTTAATTACTCTTTTTATCTCCCAGAGAATGTAGTGCCCCAGGACTGTGGTGCAGGGGACCAGAGGTGCATGGGAGCTCCCGGCACTGAGCACATTTAGGAAGTCACTAATATTTGTATAATTAATTGATTTTCAGGCTCCTCCATGTTGCTCTCTGAAAGCATTTCAAGCTCGACACACAGAAGCTGTTTCTCAGTGAGCAGCTGTGGGGCGTTTGGCTGATGGTTTTGACAGCAGAGATGAATTGAGGACGTGGCATCTGCAGTCCTGACCTGGAATTTGAACCCTTCAGTGCCTCTCCCTCCTCCCAGATGGAGAGAGGCGGAAGATCTCGGAATCTTCTGATTGCCATCGATCTGATTTTGCTGAGCACTGGCCTTGTATCACGTCCGTGTGTTCCTTGAGAGATGATTTCAATCTGAAAAAAAGCCCTGTAAGTATCTTGAGAGCTGGAAATCAGATGCTCTGATCTAACATTTCTCCAGCATTTAGCCATTACCTCTACAACAAGCACCTAATTTAAAAAAAAAACCCAAACATGAAGCATAAGGAAAACTGTGAGATAACATTGCTGATTTTGAGCCCTGACTTACATGATTTTCTTTCTGATATTTTTGGAGGGAAGAGGGAATTGGATCATATTTTTATCTTTTTTTTTTTCCCCCACGTCTGTAAGGACTAGACATTTCTTTAACAGAGGGGAAAATAAAATAAATTGAGATCTCCAGGTGGTAACATGGCTGAAAGAAAACATGAATACTTGGAAATTCGTGCTCATTAGTACTGGCACAGATGTGACTCTGTAGAGCTGAAGCTAACCAGGACCAGGGTATAGAGATGAGAACTGCACATAATTGAAGCCCTGATTAATTAAAAGCAATTTCTTGGCACAGACAATGATGGAGCACCCTTGAGTGGATGTCCCTGCACATGTCCCTGTGGATGTGTGCCCCAGGCCCTGCTGCCTGTGCTGGGGTGAGGCTTTGTGTGGGTGGGCAAGGGGTAGAAAAGTGGCTTTGCCAAGGAAGCCAAGCCAAGGGGAGCAGTGAGCCACCTCTCCACTGCTGCTTCAGGTGTGCTGCTGCACCCAGGTGCTTCTCCAGGGGCCCCATGCTTGGAACAGCTGCTGGAGGAAGTGTGGCATCAGGAAGGGAATCCTGTGCACACAGGGGAATGTCCTTTTCATGCAGGATCACAAACAAAACCCTGAAAGAGTAGTGATGGATGCAGCAGCCCTGGGGAGGCCCCACACTGCTGGAACCAACAGCTTCATGGAACGTTTTCCTGGAGTCCAACAGTGGTTTTCTAGACTTAAAAACTGATCACATTTCCTTTCCTCCCTCCCTCCCAAAGGCTTTTTTGTCATCTGTGTCCAAAACCTCCAGCAGAAACTCCATGATTGGAGCGATTTGGTCCAATGCCATGAGAAGGGACTGCTCCACACACTTTAGGAAGAGCGAAAAGGAGGAAGAAAAGAAGGTAGAGCCCTCTGTGCTGTGCCTGATCACTCATCAAAGCCAGCTGCCTCCTGTGCTGGCTTGAGGACATGACAGATGTCTGTAGCCTTTACAGGTGCAGGGCCTGCATTTCATCAGTCTTTTTTCCATGGATGACCTGGAGTGTGGATTATTAGCAGCTCAGATTTCTTGGGCCAAGGTGCTTTGTTGTGTACACATCCGGGTTAAATCTAAGCAATATTTCTGATCCATGTAGGCTTCTGACTCAGTCCTGCATCTTTGGTGTTTACAAAATGATCAGAGTTTGAACTCTCCCTGTTCTCTTTCTTAAATGTCAGCAGATTTTTTTTTAATTTTTTTTTTTTAATAAAACAATGCAGCCTTCCCCTGTGGTGTTTGTGACCAAGAAACTGTGGCATCACAAGAGCATGAGGAAATACTGGCTGATTAAAACCAGGGTAAGAAATGACAGCGAAAGTGCTTGTAATTTTTTTTTTCCTCATTTCAGAATTCACAATGAAGTGGCTGGTAAAATGGGACCAGCTGGTTCAGCCCCACTAGGGCTGAATACAATGTTTAATGTGCTGAAACTACTTCCACTGGCAAACTTTAGTGTGATAATTTAATTTCTCATGTAAAGCACATCTCACAGCATGGCTTTTTCCTTACCTCCCTCTGTTTTGACAAAGTAAAGTAAGTTTGGGCTATTGTTGGCTTGCTTTGGCTTGTTCTTTTTGTCTTTTTCCTGCCTCTCATTAATATACAAGTGGTATTAAATAGTAATGATGCCAGTATTGACCTCTGCTGTGCCTTGCTGTTGGCTCGTTTTTGCTTCAAGGAGCAGATGTTCTCTGTCTTTGTTTTCTGTTGCCAAACGGGGACTTTGCCCCTTTAACCTTTGATAAGGTGCTTTAATAATCTCTGATGTGAGATTTTATCAAAAGCCAAGTAAATCATACCTGCCTGGCAGCTTCTTTTAAACATTCCCATCGTGGTTTACAGCAGTTCCAGAAAGTGCAGTTTCCTCTGTGTTTTTGCAGGCTGTATTTATCCCCTGCACCCAGCTGAGCATCCTCCATGGAGGGAGCACCCACGGCAGGGATCCTGGGGTTCTGCTCCTGGATGATGCTCCAGCTACAGTCCCTATCACCCTGTAGCAGTCAAACAGGGTGATGTTTCCTGTCAGTGATCTCTGGGGTCTGACTAGACTCGCCTGGACCCCATTTTCCATCAGTTGCTGAGGTGGGATGGGGAGGCTGGGAGCTGCTGCTGGGGTCTTGGTGCTTGTTCCCTTGCTGTTTGTTCCCTTGCTGTGTGCCCAGAGAGGGGCTCCTGGCTGCTTTTGCACCAGCATTTAAACACCACTGTGCTGTAAAGCTGCTCTAACCCTTCCTATGAAGAGGCACCCTCGCAACATCTGTCTCTTCCTCATCCTTTTTGCAGCATTTCATACTTTATTCCTGCACTTGGCCACCCCAAAAGCCACAAGGGAAAGTTCACTTCCCAGTTTCTATTTGTTTTTTTTTTTTTTTTCCCAAGCCCCTACATGTCTTGTACAAGCAGCCACCATCCCTGGGGTGGTGAGGGCTCTCCCCAGGGTGGCTAGGCTGAGTTGTACCTCAGGTGGAAGCATGCCTGGCTATGGGAAGCCTTGTGGGCAGTTTGGGAAGGTGGCATTTTGTGTCTGAGATGTGCTCTCCCATGGCCTCTTCCAGTGTTAGTGGCTGCTTCTGCTGAACCCCTTTTGGATTTACACACATCTCTGCAAAACTGCATTGGATTTGGTATTCCCACTCTGCCTTTGCTCTCTTGGCCTGTCACATGTGGGGGAAACATTTAATGGAGCCCCTTTGTTCTGCCAG